GCGCCCGCCCCCGCCGCCTGTGGCCCTGCAGCCGCCGCCGGCGCCACCGCGCCTGCTGCCCGCCGGGCGCCCGTCGCTCCCTACGTCGCATCCGCCCGGCATCCTCGAACCCTACGGGCTGCCCCGGGGACACACGGCCTCGCGGGAGGCTGCCGGCGGGTGGCGGCTGGGGCGGGGAACCCGGGGAGGAGCCTGCCCGTGGCGGGAAGGCTGGACCAGCCCTGACTGCCCGAGGACCGGAATAAACCTTGTCCGTCTCCACCCTGCAGGGTGTCCGTCTGTCTGTTATTCTTCTCCCCCTAGGGCAGAACCCTACTAGGGTGTGGGGCCAACGCCAGGAGCCCTGTGAGGAGCAGCGGCTGAGCTGGGGCTCCAGCCCAATGGACACCCCTGGATGATGAAAATGGGTCAATACAGCTTAGCCAGACCCTGACCACAGTCAGTCTAGTGGGAGGGCAGGCCCTTCTCTGCCCATCTCTCCACGAGCAGCTTCTAAGCCCGGCTTCTTCCACCACCCTTCACCAAGCCCCTTCTCTCTTCCAAGCCCTGTCCTGAGTTAATACTAGCAGCTAATGCAGCAAATACGTATTAAGCACTTACTATGTATGTTATATGGAGCTACATTCTTCAATCCGATTATCAAAATAGCTTTGCAAGGTCAATATAACTTGTTTCATTTTACAGATGAAAAAAATCAAGAATCAGAGAGGTTTAGTGATTTGCCTAAGGTCACACAGCTGGTGTTTGGCAGAGGTTGGATTCAAACCCACTGCTGTCTTTTTCTGCTCAGTGGAACCTCCTTCTCCACCTCTGAGGCCTCTGCTCTCAGTTTCTGTGGTTTCCAAGATTTTTCTTGGTTCTTCCTGACTCTGCATCAGCCCTTTTCCCCAAACCTACACCCCCTACACTCAACTGGATGCTCTAGAAACCTCAGAGCACCCCCAGTCCCCATCTTTAGGGAAGTTCTGTTCAGGTGCTCAGGCCAGAGGGCGCTGATGGGCTTCCAGTCCTAGGCCCATTGCCTGACCCAAACCCCTTGTGACATTCCTCTGCCATTCAGTGCTCCTGGCTCAGAAGAGTCACTGAGCCACACCAGGGCCCCAGCTGGCTTCCCACCAACCCTGACTGCCCTGTGCCCCACTCCTTACCTGTGCCTGCACACAGCTGGGGTAGTTTGTGGCTGTGGCAACTACCTAATTAACCAATAAATCAGTCTCAGTGGTTGCAGAGCCGCCCACTTCCCTCTCTCCCTCACCACAGCCCAATAATGTTTATCAGCTTCTGGCTGAGGCCTGAGACCTTTCGGCTGCAGTGTCTCCCTGCACACCTCCTGGCTGCTGGGCACCCTGGGCCCCTCCCTGATAGCAGGCAGCTGCTTGCTGTCACCACTGCCTGCCACCTGCCACAGACCCAGGATAGGTCAGAGTGGCAGTCACCCTTCACAGGTGGAGGCTGAGACCCAGCTGGGTAAGCAACTGCTTCAAGGGCTCACAGCACAGGGGCCCGACACCTGGTCCAGTGTTCTTTCTCCTACGTCTCTGCCAAGGTCGCCACGGCTGACTCAGGCTGCAGCAGTGGGAATGTTCCCCAGAGGCCAGGGAGTGTGATGCTGCCCGCTTCCACAGCACCCACTGTGGCTTCTCTCTTTGGCCTCACTCACACCTCCACTGGCTCATCCAGGCCTCATGCCAATCCTGGCAGGCAAGGAATATTACCTCCATTCTCAGAAGCAAAAACTGAGGCTCAAGGAGGTGAGGTAGCTTGACCAGAGCCAACTGGCAAATTCGCAGCGGAGCTGGGGTCCTAACTGGGCCCTGGGGATGGCTCTCACAGCCTCCCAGGCAGCACTGGGAAAAATCTAAGAGCATCTGACAAAGTTCGCTGCCTGACAATGGTGAGTTCCCGCAAAGTAGAAGAGAACAAACTCTCCCAGAGTTGACTTATGCCGTATCGGTCCGGCCTCCCAGCCAGGCTGCTGCTCCTCCATAGTCACCTCTGTCAGCACAGACAGGTGACCAGCTGGGAACAGCCTCCAACTAGGATAGGCAGGAGACAAGCTCACCCAGCCAGGGAGTGGCAGAGCCAGAGTTTGAACCTGTTATGAAATTCCAGGCCCCAGGGAGAAGAGTGGTCACCGGAAGTCCTCCACAGAGGCCTGTGTCTCTGCTCAACTGGTAAAGGGACAGTCGTACAGGCCAGGCCTCTGGCTGGGCTCTGAGGCCTCCTACTTCTGAAGCAGGTCTCTCTGGCCCATCTGAGTCAGTTAAAGAAGCCCAGAGGCCTTGATTAATGGGTGGCACAGTACAGGGTGGCACAGAGTAGGCACACAGCAGATATTTAATACTTGAGGACAGAGGGGCCAGGCAAGGAGGGACACGACCCTTCCATTCCTTCTTTCCTTTATCCTCCAAATATTTCAGTGCCTGCGCTAAGCTAGGCCTTGCAGGGATGAGTTTGACCTCGTCCCTCCCTTCCAGGAGTGCTCAGTTTAGCCGGAGAGCCAAAAGAAGAAAGGACAGTGCTGTGTGATGGGACCATAACAGAAGAATAGTTTTGAAAGGGCACAGAGGAGGACACTCCTGCCTTCCTGGGCAATCCAAGCAGGAGTCCCAGAAGAGGTAACATTTAATATGCATTTTCCTGGAAAAAAGTGGGAAGGGCCGGCTAGGTGGAGCGACAGCCTATGCTGGGGCAAGTACGGGTAGGAGCAATAAATAGGCTCATTCCGCTGAAACAGGGCAGGATGGGGTCTGGAGAAACTGGGAGGGTGGATGCTGTGAGACCACAAGGGTCTCCTAGGCCAGCTAGAGAGCAGCAACTTCCTCCTTCAGGCAGGTGCTGATACACCATTGAAGGTTTTCAAGAGGGTAGGAGCCCCATCAGAAGTGTGGTCAGAAAGGCATCGGGGTGGCTGTGTAGAGGCTGGGTTGGAGGTGCCAGGCTGGCAGCAAGGAGCCCAATCAATAGACTGCTCTGTGAGCCCTTGGCCAGGAAAGCCACTGCCAAGGGCCTGGGGCTGGGAAATGATTTTTGCTATGGATTTGTCAGGAAGATTGATGGCCTGCTGCTGGGCTTGGGCCTGGCCCCACAGGTTCCCGGGTCTGCATCAGGGGGCTAATGAAATGCTTGGAAGAGCAGATGGTCATAATACAGCAGGTCCACGAATAATGTTGTTTAGTTCAATGTCGTTTTCTTCATTTTAACATTGATGAGATGTCATAGGAACTTAAGTCCTGTTTATATCAATTAGCCTGTAATAAAATTGATTTAACTATATGTCATTTTGCTTAGAGTCTCAGAACCTGTCAACGATGTTAAGTCAGGACTCATTCTCTTTTGATTAGGAGAGAGCCGTGAGTCCTGGAGGGCCACAGGGGCTGGAGTAGAGGCTGAATGGGCCCTGGTCGCTGCCCCCGGTGCCCAGGAGAACCCCCTGACCTGAGCCCTCTGTAAGGTCTCAGACCGGGCTTGAGGCAGCCTGGGGGGCTGGGCAGGAACCCCTCTTAGCTGGAGGGAGGTTTAAATTCTGCATCCCTTTCACCCCCCTAGCTGTGTAAACCTCATAGAGCACGTAGCATTCATGTCTGAGCACCTAGTAGGTAAGGGTTCTCCTGCAGGAAAGACAGAGGGATGGGGGATTGTGGGAGCCCAGAGGAGGGCCCTCAGCCGGCCTGGAGAGGCAGAGAAGACTTCCTAGAGGAGCTGGTTCCCAAGCCAAGTCCTGAAGAATGACTTAATCAGGGCAGATGGGGAAGGGAGAGATAGAAAGACATGTGTATGGGCTGCCTGGAGTCAGGCACGGCATGATGCGCTAAGGGCCTGGAACAGGGCACAGGGGAGGCCCAGCAGGAAGTGGGGGGAGGACGGTCACAAAGTCCTCTGTGTTTCTGTCTGAAATTGAGGCTGTACTTTGTCCGGAGGGCAATGCAGAGCCACTGAAAGTTTTTAAGTAAAAGTACAACCTGATCATACTTACTCTTTAGGAAACTCTTTCTGGCTGCACGCAGGCTTTTCTGGGGAGGGAGAGCAGTTAAGAGGCTGGCGTGAGAACCCAGAGATGAGGATACCCAAGACCTCGACAGCGAGTAGGGAGACATGAGGAGATATGGTCAGATGGGACAGCCACTTAGGAGGTACGGTTGTCGGAACTTGGTGATTGAACATAATGGGAGGAGGAGAGAGATGTCTTGGATGACACCCCACATTTCTGTTTTGGGTTATTCGGGTGGCAGTGGGGATGGTGGGGGTCATGTTTGAGGGGACAGATGTTGGGCTCAGTTGGAACATATTGAAACTGAGGGGCCTGTGGGACATGGTGAGTGGTGTCCACAGGGCACTAGTGCACTGGGCACCTACTACCTCTCAGGCCTTGCGCTTCGCCTGGAACATGTGTTTTATCTGCTTTAGAGTTTGAAGATGAAGAAACTGAGGCTCGGAGAGATTAAGTAACTTGCCCAATATCACAGAGCTAGCCAGAAACAGAGCTGGGTTCTTCAGCTTAGGTTTGTCTGATTTTAGTTCCATGGTCTTTAGGGAAGAGAAGAGGCAAGAAGGAGTTGGTCGAAGGGAAGGGAGGAACTTGGATGTGTAAAGGAGGTGACCCCCACCCGACTCCTTGTAGCAACCGTAGTCAGGGCTCAAACTCAGCCCTGGGGAGGGTGGGTGAGGTGAGGGCCCTGGCGTGGCCACATTAACCAACCCTTCTCCCTGCTTAAGGCACAGAATCATCTATCAACTTCATGGTGTGTACCTGGGGACATCAATACCAATTAAGTACCCAAGGTTTCCTATTAATGAACATCAGTTCCTCAGCCCTGATGCAGGGCTCATTTGCAAGCTGCCAGCTGGATCCAAGATGGCCTGAGGCCAGAGGGCCCAGCTGCGCAGGCTGGAATTATTTCTAGTATAAGAGGACAGGACCGATTTATTGAGGAATCTGCTCGGTGCCATGTTGTTTCAGTGGCCTAGGCTCTGTGGAGGGGTGGGACTGAAGCAGGAGGAAAGGTGATGAGGACGGATCGAGGGGAAGGTGCTAGCTTGGAGCACCTGGGAGTACTCTGGACGGTGTGGTCTGGGGAGGGTGCTGGCCTGGGCATTGAGTGGACCTTCCAGGTCAACTCAGAGAGGGATCAAGGCATGGACTCTGAGTCGAGTTGGAATCCTAGCTCCTATACTTTCTAGCTCTGATCTTTCTGTACCTCGGTGACCTGCAGAACCGAGCTCTGTCTGAGCCGGGTCCCCTTGGAGGCAAACAGCCTCACTTTGCTCACCTGCTGTTGACAGCTGTAGGTGATGTTTTGAGGGCTCCCGCAGGCACATCTTGATCCCCATCAAAACAATCACCAGCCCCCAGCTGAAGAGGTAGGACTCACCCACCTCTGCCCTGGGCATGCTGACCACTAAGTGCTTCTATAGCACATGCCATCTTCCCAGGCTCCCAAAGTAAGAACGTCACCAGGCTGGCATGGGCCGTCACAGAGACAAGAGAACACTCTAGTCTGTGGTCTGGGGTTGGGCAGCATTCCTTTGCTTCCCTGAGCTCGTTTCCTCCTCTGTAAAGTGAGCCGACCATCTCTCCCTGCAGGCACTGAGGCCTAGGTGTCAGCTGGTGAGCCAGCATCAGGGAGTTTGGGCTGTAATTCCCTATGAGCCTCATAGCTGATGACAAGGTGGGGATGACAAGGGACTTTGTTGGGATTACCCAGGAATCGGTTCAGCTTCCTGACCTCCTAACTCTGGCTTGGGCTCAGCATCTGACGTAGTCTAGGGAGCAGGCAGCCCTGGTGGGGACAGGGACTTTCTCCCAGAGGGGGTTTTCTCCCAGAACTCGTGGTGCTGCTCTGGGTAAAGACACAATTGACTTCCAGGTAGAGATGACAGCCTGCCTCACCTGGTTTCTGCCACCAGTGCAGATCTTCATACCTTAAGACCTCTGCAGCTTGGTCCCACCTCCTTCTCTGGCTAGCCTGTCACCCTCCTGGTCCCACAGCCAGCTCTCCAATCACCTCAGAAAGCCTGTAATACTGGAGGCAGCCGCCAAAGATCAGCAAGGGCCACTCCAGACTCAGCTCAGCCCCATCGCCTCCTGCCTGCTGTCCTTTCTCTTCTCCCAGGTGACCATGTGCATGCCTCGTCTACCAAGCACACACTACATCCTGCGCTAAGTGAGAACAGGGCCAGACCCTGCCGCTCTTGAGGCTGGTCATGGAGACAGACTCACTCAATAAGGCCCGTCAGTTCCTACTGACTGGGTCCCAAGGGCACTGGGATATTGGCACTTTGGAAACCTTGGCGGAGATTATGCTGGACCTGGGCTGGGCCCCACGCACGAGCTGCCTCATCTTAAGCAAGTAACTTGCTCTCTTTGAGCCTCAATTTCCCGCATCTATAAAATAGTGGGCGCAATAGCGCTGGCTACCTAATCTTTTATTGGAAACTAAGTCGAAGGGCTCGTATGAAGGGCCTGCCGTGCCAGCACACGGAACTCAACACAAGTTGTCACCCTCCGTTTCAGGAAACTACTTCTGAGAAGGCTGTGATTTCAGGCCTGGTGGAAACCACATGAGCTCGGGTGTGGATGCAGGTTCCAGCCCAGCTGCCTGGTTGGGCGACGTGGGCAAACCTGCATTTTCTCACTGATTAAAGGCAGCAGCAAGGCCAGTTATCTCACAGGATGGTGGTGTGAGAAACTGCGAAGTCTTTTCCAAGAGCTTCCCACTGATCACCACGGGCCATGGCAGGGCTTTTGCTCTTTAATTCACCGCTGTGTTCCCACCTAGAACACTGCCCAGCGCATGGCAAGTGCCCAGTATTTCTAACATAAACAAATGCGAGGTCTAAAGGGAAGGACCCTTCCCAGAGGTGAAATCAACAAACATGGATTTCTTCCTCCCCCGGATTCCCCACTGACTCAGTAACTGGAGCAGCTAGTAACAGAACTAACTCCTGTGCAGGCAACCTTTGTTCTCCCTCCTGCCCCCTGCCCAGCCCAGCCAGCTCAGGGCCCACTTGTGTGTTTTCTGACTCACTTTATGTCTGGGGCTGATTTGAACTGGTTGGCTCTTAAGACAGATTTGAGGTTGCAGGATAAATACTGGCTGGAAATGGGGCGAAGTAGATTGGCTGGCTGCCTCACTGGCTAGTGTTTGATGACTGGTCTATAAGCCACCTTTGTCTGTCAAGCCCTTCGTTCACTGTCTACGTGGCAGGGGAGGGTGTTGACAGTGGCCCCTCCACTTGCCCTACTGGCGGTTCTCATGGTTACAGGGCTACAGGGCCAGGTGTGGGTGGGTGGGGCACCACCAGGATGGAGGATGCTGCAGAGATGTGCCCTGCTTTCCAGGTGGGGATGGGTTGGTTCAGGCCAAGGACTTGTTAGGAACGAACCAGTGAGTCTGTACACCAGGCCATCCCGGAAACACCAGCAGCTTCGCAAAGCCCCAGCATGCGCCCTCCATCAGCCCTGCGCTAGGGAATACCAGGTCCCAGAAGGGCCCAGGCAGTCCCCTGGATGCCCTTGGCAGATGCCTTGCCTGTCTGCTCCCGAAGTTCTACAGCAAGTTCCTAACCTTTTCTGAGTGTGGACCCTACTGAGAATGAAAGCTACGGACCTTTTTCTCAGAAACAGACATGTACACTCTCCACATAGAATCTTGCATCATTTCAGGGTGTTCATACCTAAGGGCCTATTAATTGAACTCCTTAGACTTGAGGTTGAGAAACCTTGCCTCAACTCTCTCCAGGCTGATCGGCCCTGGGTTAGGGGGGTGGTGGGAAGAGGCCTAGAGAAGCTGGTCCCAAGAGAAGAGACCCACCTGTTTGAGGTCTACTCCCTCTTGCCCCTGCCTCTCCACTGCCCTGAACTCTTCCCCGCCAGCCCACCCCGGAGGCCCTGGGCGAAGGGGGGCTGTGTCCAGGCACCAAGCCCCAGCACAGTTCTTATAGGAGGGCCAGCTCAAACATGCCCCTGGGGCCCGAGTGGGAGGAAGGGACAAAAGCCACCCTACCCACTGTACCTCTCCCGCTCCAGCACACAGCCAGCTGGCAGCCTCCTCACTCCCAGCAGCAACGGCCTGAGTTCCATGGGAACATCTGACTGCTTCCCCTGCCCTCTCTCTCCCAGTCTTGGGGCCACCACGACACTGTCCCTTCCTTAACTCTGCTGACATGGTGAGGCTTTCAGCTTCCCTCTCAGAGTCCTGGAGGCAGCCCAAGCCGGGATCTTATACCCACAGAGGGACCCTTTTTTCTTCACGTCTGGAGAGCAGCTGGGTTCCATTTTAAATCTGACCAAGCTGGGATTGGGAGGACAAGCTCCCCTCCTCTGAAAGGTAGTCGGGATTCCAATCTGGTGAGGGCAAGAGGGGCAGAGCCAGAGCGGACGCAACTGACGCCCGGGTACAGTCTGCCTTTCCCGTGGGTCAAATGCCTCCCTGGAGAGGGCTCGGCCAGGCGTGCCCTCTCTTCAGTGTCCCCTTTGTGGCAGGCCTCTGCCACGAGGGCCGCCTTTTGCGTGTCCGTGGCTCCCTTCGTGGGAGTGGGAGCCGGAACCTCCTTTCCAGTGAGTGTTGAGCCGTCTCAAGTATTAGTATACCGTTGCTGCTTCAACAAATTACCACAGACTTAGTAGATTAAAACACAGATTTATTCTCTTATAGTTCTGATGGTCAGAATTCCAAAATCAGCCTGACTGAGCTAAAGTCAAGGTGTCAGCCAGGCTGGTTCCTTCGGAAACTTCTGAAGGGAGAATCCATTTTCTTGCCTTTTGTACACTCTGGAGGCTGCCTGCATTCCTTGGCTTGTGACCCCTTCCTTGTTATTACTCTGCTTTCCTGCTCTGTCACAGTATCTGCTACTTCCTTTCTGATCTCCGGCTTCCCTAAGGATTCCTGTGATTACATCAGGCCCACTTGGATAATCCATGATCATCACCTCGTCCGAAGACCTTTAACTTATTATGTCTGCAAAGTCCCTTTTGCCATGTAAGGTCCGGTTCACAGGTTCCTGGGGTTAGAACATGGACACCTTGGGGGCCACTATTCAGCCTACTACAACTAGGCTGCAGAACTGCTAGGACCTCCCGGTGTCCCAGTGATTGG